CCGCGTTGAGGCTTCTACCTGCAGTTATCACCACCGTTATAGGTCCTCCGCATACGCCACAAAGTCAACAGCTCTGGGAACTTCCGGTTCCATCACGGCATCGTAGATCACGTTCTACAGTATAGGTCCTATACTGTAGAACGTGATCTCCTATCTATAGGAGCCCACAGGGTCGATCCTTGCGGCACGCCTTCATTAATGTTCAAAACGGTAATTTTACCTCTGCTATTCTATCGGTGAGGCAACTGATATTTGGTCCTAATTCTCTCGAGGAGTTTATAAGCGCTGTAGGCCTAACAGATCCTGAGTACTTTGGTATTAATAATACAAACGTTTTCTTCCACCTGCTTGGATAAATTCTTGTGGCCAGCACTGAGTTTAATGCTGGGGTCACATACCTGGGGCCTCACACGCGACGAGCTCCTGCAAGAATCCATCCGGCCCTGGCGCCATTCTCCTGGGCATTTTCCTAGCCTCCTCTCTGATTTCGTCGTCGCTAATGGGTTCGACTGGTTCTGGCTACGTTGAATCGTATTCGGCTCCCTCCTACCTTGGGAATAACTGTTCTATCGTGGTGATGATCTTCCTGTTGGTGCCGACCATTCTCGCTCTTATCCCTAGCTTCCAGGTCACTATATTTTATATGCTTTTTTTTTAAGTAGGTACATGGTACACTAAAAGAAAGCCCTATTCTTTCTCTATGGACTGGTAAAAATGGGTTGCCCTAACTACAACCGTTTTCAAGTACCTAGGTATTAATCAATTTTCAAGGTACCGTCTGCATCCGCCAGTCAAAATAACTTAAAAACCATAACGAAGTTACTATAGCTACTTCCGGTATTTCCGGAAGTTCAATCATTTTGGAAATATATTACTAACAATAAATTAACAGTTTAAGGTAATATTTAAATGACCTATAAAATCTATCTGTATTATTAAGCAGGTCGAGTTTTGTGAGCAGCTGCTTTATCAAAAACGTCTGACCGTCCGTCTTTCCGACCGTTTGGCCGGCCGTCCATTTAAACGATAGCGCAAAGACACTGACGTAGAAGCTGAAATTTGGTGCAGATAGGCAATCCAAACATAAATTGAGATAGATGAATAGTTCAAGGTTGTGGCAAATTAGGCCTTTTGGGTTGCCTATACGTAGGTGGTATGTAGAAGAAATGCAGAATCGTAGAGGGCGAAAACACACATTTATGTGTCCATTTTAAACGATTTGTAGCAAAATAACAGAAATATATCATCGTACGATCTTTTATAACATCTAGGTACTAAATTTAATATTTTCAAGTGAGCGCGCGAGATGATCCAGTGGCCTAAAGAAGAAGTGATCAGATTTTGGGCTTCGGGGGTTCACTCGTTGGGGACAGGGTCAAGGGTCAAATATATATTGATTAGAAACACATGGCGCGTATTATATTTTTAGAAAGCGAGCATCCAAATAGGTAAAGGGTGTCCCATTGTCGATACTTTTATCAATATTATGCTTTTATGTAATTGCTATGAAAAATATAATATAATAACTTGTGGTCTTTTTGGGTCAAAATTTAAAAGGGTAAAATCAAAATTTGGAACCGACTGGTTCTAGCACCGGTTCTATACTTTTAGATTTATGGATGGGGGTGATATATCCATATTTTCGGAAATTTGATTAATTAAGTGAATTTTTTAACGGGACACCTTAGACGAGCAACACTCCGTTTTTGAACCTTTAGGTGTATGAGAAAAATACAGGGTGAGTTTTTAATCTCGGAAACAATAAGACATATAGAGATGCGGTTAAATGAGGAAAGAGTTGTCGTTTTAAGAGCTTATTTAAGATAAGTACCTATATGCTTTTGTTTTTTGAAAAAAATCCACAGTTTACTAGATATGAGCGAAAAACAGATTTAGTGAGTTTTCTTTTAAATGTTAATTAAATGGGTCAAATTCAATGACCCCGTAGGGTCACGCCTCTCGGCCTCTGGCAAACGCTTGAACCTATTTGGTTCAAACTTTGCACAGTGAACATACACACCACATGTAACAAGTCAATTGAAAATGGATCAAATCCAATGACCCTGTGGGGTCACACCGAGGTGCTCTGTCGCTTTTTTAGATGCTCTTTAAGGGTTTATTTTTGTTGTCAAAGAAATTGTAAGTTTGGTTGGAGAAGCGGGCACTTTTAATTCATATATTCATATAGTTTGTACGGCCTCACTAACTTATGAATTTGTATTCTCCTATGATACGGAGGAATAAGACGAGGGGAAATTTTGTGGCAAAATTTCGACATAGAAACGTAGTTTCAAAAGTTCACGTTATAGATAATCCGAAATATTAACCGCACAAATTTTAATTAAAAGGTATCCCTTAGTAATTGACCTCATGGCCCTTACTATCTGAAAATGCATTGTAAATTGTATACAATGGAGGATGGGATGTGATCGAGGGTATAAATTTACGATAATTCATAGATTTTCAGCTTTTCATCTCTGACAAATTTGAAATGAGGTTCCACTACTTAGTCGATGTACGTATAACTGGTACGGCACGAACTAATAGTAGGAGAACTGTTGAAATTTTCATCGTTTCTTATTACGAAATAGAGACAATTGTCCTGTAACATTCATAAAAAGCAGGATGAAAAGTGATCAAAATACACTGGGCGTTCATGTATTTATGGCGGCCAGTATCCATTCCTTCAAACTTTGAAGGCGCCTGGCAAAGTGTAAGATCCGAATATTAAATTTAGAGGTAATAAAATTTTTTGCAAAAAAAATTCGTATCTTTAAAAATATAAAGGTTGATCTGCAAAAATTCGTTACTGTGACCCTTTGCCCAGCTTCTCCTCAGCCAGGTCAGCAATTCTGTGTTTAGGTATTCTTAAAGAGCATTTTCAGTGTACCTCAAATACCTACCTACTCATAAATGTCTACCAGCTCTCGGACTATAAATTACTAAACTATACGTTAATGGGTTATAGGTATAGACAAAGTGGAACCTTCTAAGTAGGGCTAGGGCATGTGATTCACTACGTTCAGATTTAAATTGGTAACGGCTAATTAAAAAACTAGATTATATAAAGCATGAAACATTGTTTAGAGTACCTATGGAAAATTGGAAACCATCCACGGCGGTTCACAATATGAAAAGTGATGAATAAAACCGCTGTGCTTGCAGTTATAGCACAGATTTGAGTGTTTAAATCTGTGGTTATAGTCCTCATTTCAAACAGTGCACCTTCATGAATAAGTAAACATGCGTACAGGCAATAAATACAATGGTACAGGTTTAGCATATACCTACTAAGGGGTTACCGTTAGCGTGTGTTTATTGAAAGCGCGAGAAATTATGACGATCAATAACTCGCGCACTGCAGCAGTGGGTAAATCACAAAGAGAAATGAAAAGATTTGAGTCCAAATCTGCAACACAAACTTTTGCCGCATAATGTATTATGCCTTTTAAATGCAACACCCTGTATATTTCTTCACTGCGGAAAAAATAGAAACTTACTTAGTACTTTCAGAAATATCAGGACATTTTATACTTACGTTAACGTAAAAACATAAAATATGTCGAAATAACGGTAAGGATTAAACATTTGATAAAAGTATAAACGTTTGCGTATTTCATATGGTTCACAATATAATTGAATCTTCTTTATTATTGGCACAGATATACGTAAAGAATGGTAATCTGAGCAGTGGATGACTATGTTAGAATGATTGAGCGGCATCGGCCTTTCAGGTAAACACAATCATAATCTAATCTTTTGGGAGCCGTGAGGTAAAGTTATTCTTATTGAACCGCAAATGACATCAATAAAATTAAGCGCACCCTGATTTAAAATTAACATAAACAAAATTCGCGTTGTAAATTTTCTGCATTTGAAAGGGGAGCTGTGGAAATGTTGAGAAAAATCTGATAGGAAATTGAGAAAATGAAATGAACTTGGGAGAAATCCCGAATGTCATGGGAACATGAGAAGCTTAAAGAGAACTAGAGAACAACTTGACAACCTTCAGAGCTGCTTTCAACCCTTAAAAATCAACCCCTATTGTGGTTTAATTAAAAAAAAGGATTTACTCTCAAAAATCTAATAAATGATCACACCGTTTTAATTTTAATCAATTTAAAATATTACTAATTTCATTTTATAACTTTGCAATCCTTGGATGTAAGTGTGTGTGTCTAATGTGTACTATACGAAATATATAAGGTACAGGTAATCAGATCATCGTGCTGCGATTTGTGCTCTTAGAGTTTGTCAAAAAATATTGTGATTAGTTTTTTAATCATATCTCCTTTATTTTATATGATAAAAAGTTCATTAAATAGCCATTTTGTAGATTTTACAAGAGCTACAAGGTTATTTATTTACATTAAATCCCTTTAAAACTATTATAGTTTTAAAAAGGGTGTGAGCTTTGAGGACTCAAACAAGGTAGTGCAGGCATATAAATACATGTTTTATGGCCGTTTCCACCGACAAATTTAAGCGGAGCTTAGCTTAACCGTAGCTCAAAATCCATGGCAACGATTATAGAGACAATTGGAGACAATGGTTTCCATGGATTTTAAGCTACCCTTAAGATGGCTTAAGCTAAGCTCCGCTTAAGTTTATCGGTGTAAAAACCAGATTTTTGTTCTAGAAGGAAGTTAATTTCACAACTCAAAATTTATCTTAATACTTTCAGATCAAAAATTTCAAATTCATATTTCGTTGCTTAAGTCGAAATGTTAAAATGTCAAGTTTGAATGAGTTGTTACACGAAATTTTGACTTCTGAAAAAGAAATTTCAGGTTTGTTGATTTTACAGGTTGGGAATTCTATTCCCTTTCGCAATTAATTTTACCCGTAGTACAGTCTCTTTGCTTCAGACGTGATTTTACCAAGACATAGGGATGTGCAATTTGAGTGAACAACAACTAGTAGGTATAATACTACGGAGGGAGAGTTCCTAACTTGCCGGGAAACTTCACTAAACTTGAGGTTAACAATCTAATTCGGGCTTTTATTATTTAATTGCACAAGATAAGGTAAGGTAAAGAAATATAAATACATATTGTCCACATCACTCTTAAAGGGTTGATAAGGCGTCACGGTATCATAAGCAATCCGTTATTATGTTAAGAGCTTTATTTCCGAATGGCGCAATTAGCTAATCTTCTTCCATTACCACTTCACATTGTATCTTCAGTTGATCCTAACTTTCCAATATTTTCTGCTTCTTCAACGGTATCTGGGAGCGTAGTACCTACTGTTTCAGGAAGCTGGAGTGACAGTATGCTACCCACTACTGCACTGGATCCAAAAAGGACCAAAGGAAGTTGTTCCCAATATGTTTTCTATAATAACATTATTAAACGATTGGCAGTCGTTTTAACTTGTGCGATATACGTACCAGTAAAGGTATCTGTGGAGCGAGCATGCCACCTAAACGGCCACACATAGAACAAGATGACAACAATGAGCTCCGTAAATTGGTGGGAAAGCATTCGGACGTTACAATGTAGACAATTGCGACAACAATAGCCGTACCAAATTTACCGAAAAGGTATATACATAGTTGCAGCCAGTATAGATCTAAAACAGTAATGTATACATTTTTGATTTGTGTCATACATTTAACCGCACCTTCTGGTACGAAGATGAAGCTTAAACAGGAGACTGCGCAAGTAAAAAAACCCGTAGCAAGGGTATAACGTCTACCAATTCTATCCAACATAAAGTACACTAAAACACTTCCAGGAATTTCAACTAACATGGTTAGGATAAAATCAAAGTAGGGGTTACTTGATAAAGCTACAGAGTTTATAGTAAGTCCATAATAAGAAAATAAGCCAACACCCCAAAAAATTGCACAATTTATATATCGTCTTGTTAGAATTGGCGATTTTAACAATTCCTTGAATTTGTGACGCGATTCTGGGCTAACTTCCGAAGTATCTGATTTCCATAGTGTTTTTAAATTTTGTTCGGATAAATTTGTTCCGTTTGTCTTTGCAATATTTCGTAGTATTTTTTCTACCTTAGTATACATGTTTCTTGTTAGTAGCCACCTCACGGATTCTGGAAGCAACCAATAATAAGTCACCATAATTAAAGAAGCTCCATACAATATTTGATCAAGTGTTCTAGTAAGTGTAGGATTAGTGTTAATATTTGCTCCAATATTATATTACCTCCACGTCTGTAGACTCCAAGCAAGTGCACCGACAAATACTCCAGAAATTGAGCAGGATATGTTGAGGAGGACGCCTACCACTGTTCTTTTTTCAGGTGCAACAAATTCAAGTGCTGAAATAAGTTTTTTTTAATTATAGTTGTGGTTTTAATTACAGAAATCGTTCCCCCAAGAGACCAAGTAGACCACAACAAATTTATAACCCAATCACAGTAATCTTACAGGGAAAATTGCACTCTTGATTGCACATCCACAAAGGAGAATAACCTTTGAGGTCTTTAGAGATGTAAGATCTGGGTTTGAATCACGATTGTATTATTATGTATATGGTAGTTAGTAGAGGTCATTTCGAGCAATACAATTGGTTAGTTTAATTTTTTTTTGGGCGCGATTTTTCAGAACTAGGTAGTCGATCCATTAAAAAAAAATAAAATCGGTTCATTAAATAATCTTACAACCCTAGCGTAGGGTTAAAGTTGTAAGTGCTCCTCTTCGACCGGTTTTTCAGTTTTTATGGCTAATCATAGCGTTGCAGATCTAATTACTTGCGGTCCATTATACTTCAATTCGAGTTTTTGATTATTTGGAAAATAATCGCGATTATCCTGATAGCAATTCCTAAAATAGAATTAGGTACTTATTTTACATTTCTAATCGTAACTCATTCGCATGTAACCGATTACTGTAGTTAATTACGCTTCAGCTCGAGCTTTATAGCACCATTGAATAATGATTACTTATTCAATGATAGCACAAGTAATTTTGTTAGTAGTTTTTCTGCATGTACCTTCAGTTTCTTAACTGATCGAATGTGTAGCAAATACAAGTCGTATTTTTGTTAATCCCGAATTACATAATTATTTCTTACCTATTATGTAAGCATTCGTAAATGATCCCCCTCTCGCTACAGAATCCAGAAATGACATTGTTATAAAAAATACATACGAATTACTAAACGAACGAATTAACCCAGCAAATCCAGTTGAAATTATACATCCTAGTAGAACAGTTTTTCTTCCAAACCTAAAATTTTAAACAAAAAATGAATAAGCAGTCATTACGGTGCAATTAGTCAAAAAACGGCCTAAGCTCAACATCCAAAGTAAAAGTTTGGTTGGGTGGGGGGAGGAAAGTTGGTAAATTAGTTTTCATCAGTTTTTGTTAAATTGTGGGGTTTAGCGCGAGAAGTGTATGCAATGGTCATAATAAGTCATGAAAGTGGTCGTTTACATGACGCGGAGGCTTATTGTAAAGTACCAGGACGCGCAGCGTCCGAGTATCTCTTTAATGCCTCCAAGTCAGGTGGACTCACTTTCATGACATACTCTGTATAAAATTTTACCTGAAACCGCAACATGTAGATAACTTTTCCAAATTAAATTATTCATATGTGTGAAATGTTGATACCTAATCACGCATGCTAAAATCACTTTATTTAATTGTTTCCATAGAGATTTAAAAATAATTAAAACAATCAGTGTCAGTCAGTTTATGCTTTGTACTATACAGTCTTTATAACTAGGTACAAAAGCAGGTTTCAGTGAAGAAGAGTACGCGAGACGTTGTTATAATGTAGCCGAAGCTGTGGCCGCCGTAGTGCAATATTAGCTCCCCACAAAGTCAAGAAAGAGGTACGAAAAGGCGTACAAACCTTTTAATGACTGGCGCAAAACTAAAGGAATAATTACTTCCACACATATTCCATTAATTGTTAGTAATTAAAAAACCATTATCCTTTGTGTAGGTATATTAATATTTTAAAAAATCCACATAGTCTGCATTATAATTATCCAATCGTTGATTGAATAACTTATTCAATGAACGATCTAATTGTTATTTTGCATGTACTAGGACTGTAATGGGAGACAGGCAAAAATATTACAGTACTAGTCAGGTAAAGATCAACTTTCTAATGTCAAAATAGCCCTGAAATTTAGATTTTCTTGACGGTTTCAGGTAAAAGCTTTTTGACACCTTGTTAATTTTGATTCTTAATTAATTGTGATCAATAAGTTTCAATTTGGGAGACCGCCCCAAGTTGTAACTCGTATCATTTTCGCTCGCCCCTTCTGGTCGTGTTTGTGATGATATACGAATTAATATATTAATAATTACATTCATTATAACTAACTATAGGTACCGCAACTTTATTTTATTTATTTTACCATACCTATATTGTCCTTTTATTACAATAAATCTTTTCTATTGGCTCCGATATCTGAATTTCATTTTTAAAAACAATAAGCGTGTCCCAAGTTGAATATAAGTGCTACATATAGAAGTTTTCTATACCAACATACCTGATGTCAACTTTGGGTTACAACTTGGACACCTACTTTTCTTTAATATGTAGAAATAAAGAGATAAAAGAAATAAAATACGCTTCAGGGATGTTACATAGTGCAAGAAGACTCATAGAAGTAACATCCCCCACAGCTAAATACCTAATAAAATTGGGAGGCTAATGCGGCCTTTAGAACATGAAAACTGTCGGACTTTACAATAGTTATTAATACTATTGTAGAACACTAATGGCCAATTGCACCCTCAAAATTTCGATGAAGGAAGTCAGAAATTATCTCTGAATTATGCGCTGGTGTGCCATCCTGGTGACAAAATACATTCGCATATTCTTGAAGGGCCAATTCTTCTATAACTGGCAATATTATGTAAGTATAGTATAGTGTGTCCACTAAACGTATCAGCATATGGAAAACTTAGGTATTATATTATTAACATTTCGAAAAAGAAGTTATTTTTCATAAAACATTTTGCATGGACTGAAACCTAAACTGCAACGTCAGATATAAGTTTCTTCCCGTCGTCCACGAGATTTTCAAAAAAGTATGAAAAAGTTCCCCATATGGTGGGGACACTGTATATTTATAATTTAAATAATTTTCTGTGTTTAAATTGCTACCCACTCGAGGAACGATATGCGAAAAGTGAAATCTATCTACTCTTGTTATCAAATAAACAAGAAAATCAGCGATTGTAATAAAGTAATATACGAGAGACCCAAACGAACCTGTCTGATAGCATTCCCGTAATCGGCAAACCTATGAATAGCCCCGTATTGGTCATGGTTCCAATTAATGTTAACTTCCAATAATTTTCTTCACAATGAAGGTTGAACTGAAACAGAATTTTGATCAGAATGTAGGATCATGTAATGGTATACGATTTGCTAATCCAAAGAATGTATACAGTCACACTTTACAGACACCCACAACTTCAAAATAAATATGTCGCTTATAACTCATTTGTTATAAGAAACGAAAATTGGATGGGCTTGCTGCAAGCACACTTGGGTTTGGGAGGCCAACTTCAGGGTAGTTGACCAACTTTTTTCACAGAAGGCATCTTACATCAAGATTTAAGTTACGCTATTGGGGATAAAAGTGTGCGTATGAATAGAGAGGGTGGCTATTAGTAAAAATAGTGCACTTCCAGTGTTATCAACATCGACGACACCAAGAATGTAAATTAGATTGCGCTTGTCGGGGGAATACCAACCCCATACTCCCATCTCCAACAGCGTCGTTTGGGGAGCCATGCATTTACAAAAGGCTATACGAAATAAGACACTCTTGAAAATTTGTATTACTTTGAAGGACTACCATGAAATTGCCCTCCCCCATTTTCATTTTCCTTCTTTTATATTTCCGTTTACATATAGGTAGGTGGGGTTATAGTTATTTACATAAAAGTCAGGAAAATGATTGGCGAGGAAACATGGAAGTACTAGGCCCCTTTGGGGCCGAGTACTTTAATTTCCGAGTCATGTGATGTCATTTTTTTAACGAGTTTTGTATTACATTTTACCCGAAATCGTGTTTTAATATAAAATTTCAATTTTGATATAGAACGTTTGATGTTAATCTGTCAGGATGACAGGAATCATTATAGACATTTGGAAATGTCACAAATGCGGCCGGTAAAGTGGCGGTGCGGCCGGTAAAGTGACAGGTTCGGCCAGTAAAGTGACAAGGGGCAGGGAACGTAGTCTGCTCTGCCTCTGTCATGGAAACTCAAATTTCCTGACAGAAAGTAGGCATGAAAAGGTTTCATGACGATTTTGGGTAAAATATTAAACAACTTACATCGTGTAACGTTGATCGTTCAGAAGTTTCGTAAATATACTCATCACAACGCTCAACGATGCTTTTATCAAATACGCACTGGTTTGGCAGGCTTGCATTTACGAGCTTGTATCTTTCACAAGTTGATGGTTCTCCATCCACAGAAGGGATGGCTTCCTCCCACCATGCCGGTTTATATTCCGCAGGCTGAGTTTCACACCCCCGAATTTCGCATCTAAAATAAACTGAGTTCATGATTGGCACCCAAAATAGATTAAATTTAGTGGATGAAAACATACCTACCTATAATTCGGGACTTTTGTCTCAAATATCCATATTATCGCAGGCATGTATATCGCCATAATTGCTAGAGAAATTAGAGAAACTATTTTGTATTGGAATTTTCCAAAATTTCCTATTTCTGCTAAAATAGCCTCTAAACATGATAGTTTTGTGCTCATATTTTATACAATGTACTTTACTACTCATTACCATTACCCAATTACTACTGATGTGATCCGATTTTTAGATTACCTACATTGTTATCATGTCGATTGCGTTGCACCTTCTGATTATATTTCAACCTATCTATTTAAAACAGAACCATTACCACTGAAATTTGTGAGATAAGTAGGTAAAATGATACAAAAATGACCTAGGTTAAGTCGGATGACATTTTGATTGAATGTCAACCTTGTTTAGTACACGAGGCCTATTGATTTTAGTCGAGATTGAATCAGTAGGTATTTGGAATGGAAGATGAAGTAGGTAATCCGAGTAACGTGTAAATTATCGAAAAGTCCGGTTAACCAAATTGATAGGAAACTAAAAGGTTTATATTTTATGTTGAATAATATTTTCCGATATTTCGCAGGAAAAATAAATAGTCACGCTATTCTAGTCAGTAGCAAAACTTTACTGTGGAACTCCAAAATTTTTTAATTAGTATGTTATTACCCAAGGTTGCTTTATTAGAAGTTATTACCGCCTTTTAAACAGCTAAGCAAATATTGAAAGCAGGGCCGATGATAATGTTGTGACAGGTACTATTATTTCATTACTTGGCTACAGGGCAAAGTACGTGATACAGATAAAAGCTTGTTTTCTGTTTTTCAGGGATATTTTGAGAACTAAAAGAGGTAGTGATGCGGTTTGCACTTCTCGGAATTACTTTTCCAAGCTGCCTAGATTGACTATGTCAATTGTGACGTATGACTTGCGTGAAAGTGGCAACAGCGCAAAAGTCCAAAAATGCAATAAACAGTTTTTGCTTTATATTAGAAAAATCATAGTTATCAGTGATAACAAAAAATTCAAATACTGTTATTTTGAGGATTTCCTGAAATATTCCACGGCCTGCTTCTATTTAATCCACATTTTCATGACTGAATAACGGTTTTTCCTCTTTATCTCAATCTTTTTCTTATCAAACATACTGATAACTATGAATTTTTTAAGTAGAAGAAATAAGGAATTATTGGTGCAAAAAATATTATACATTCCATTCGTAAAAACAAACTCTGGTACTGTATCTTAAAAACTAAGCAGGCTATGGAAAATATAAAAATACCCCTTACTAAGACACTATTTTTACATAACTTTTATTTTTTCTATAAAGTAGAAGTTTTTTATTGCCTTTTTGGACTTTTGCACTGTTGCAATGTTCGCGAAAGTCAGATCGTCAATCTAGGCAGCTTTGAAAAGTAACTGGAGTTGATTAAATAGGAGCAGAACTGGCCGCTCAACTGCAGATCTTTTCGTAAAAAGGATTCCTTTGATCTTTTAAGCCAAATGGAGTTTAACATAAAAGCTGTTGAAGACTTTAAAGAAAATTTTTTGCGCAAATTAAAAATTGTACGAGTAGTTTTTTCCGGTCTTCGTTGGGATACAGCTGAAAATTGGTAGGGTGTGTAGGCCAAAGAAAGAAAACTCCGTTCAGTAGCTTTTTTATTTGGTAGACCAGATATTTCGGACGCCTATCGCTGTCTTTATCAGACCCACTAGGTAATTCACAATTAATTTAACAAATTCTCATTCACTTTTCCCGTACATGTATGCATATGTGAATAAGGAAAATCTACACAAATACTTTATCATCTCGCAATGTCTTATCAATTCAAATAATAGCGATAATTTCGTACTTTTATCTAATAATTCAAATTAAATAAAAACTAAACCATCCGTTGGTGATTTCTGATAAACATAAAATAATTACGCACACTGAAATTATACGATAGCAATATTTAACAACTTGAAGTATAAATGAGGAACAATCTTAGTGGTAATTGATTATCGGAATGATGAAGTTCATGCCATGGTAATTTGTAGTTGCTTGAAGGGGGAGGGGGGATCATTTACGGAACTCGATCAGGAAATTTATTCTGCGATTCAATAAATTCCTCTAAATATGCTTCCAAAAAATCACACCATTAAGTAATTTTTTTCCATTGCTCATAGTGTACTAAGGTCACTTCTTTGTCCAATGCTTCCCTGTCCAATGCTTCCTTGTCCAATGCTTTCTGCTTCTTCAACGGTGTCAGGAAGCATAATAAGTTTTGTTTCAGGAAGTTGAAGTGACAGTATACTGCCCACTAGTGCCGTGGACCCAAAAAGCACTAAAGGAAGTTGTTGCCAATATAGTTTCTACAATAAGATAAATAAATCAGATGCAGTTGCAAATTTGTGTGATATACGATACGTACCAGCAAAGGGATCTGTGGAGCGATCATGGGACCTACACGGCCAACCATAGAGCAAGATGAATATAATGAGCTTCTTAGATGGGTCGGAAAACATTCGGATGTTATAATGTACACAACTGAGATAACTACAGATGTACCAAATTTTCCCAAAAGGTATGTAAGTAACTGCAACCAGTACAAATCTAAAACAGTATGCATCAATCTTTGATTTGTGCCATACAATTGATCGTACGTTTTGGTACGAATATGAAGATCGAACAGGCGACTGCACAAGTAAAAAAACCCATAGCGAGGGAGTAAGGTCTACCAATTGTATCCAGCAGAAAGTACACTAAGACACATCCAGGAATTTCAACAAACATTGTCAGGATAAAATCAAAGTAAGCATTGCTTGATAAAGCTACAGAGTTTATCGTCAGTCCATAATAAGAAAATAAGCCAATACTCCAACAAAGTGCACAATTTATAAATCGCCTTGTTAAAATTGGCGAGTTTAACAATTCTTTCATGTAATGAGGCGTTATTTCAGGGATAGGCTCCGCAGGCCTCCATAGCTCTTTTAAGTTGTTTTCGGATAAGTTTGTTCCATTTGTCTTTGAAATACTTCGTAGTATCTTTTCCACCTTAGTATACATTTTTCTTGTTAGTAGCCACCGCACGGATTCTGGAAGCAACCAATAATAAGTCACCATCATCAAAGAAGACCCATACAATATTTGATCAAGTATTCTAATGAGAATGGTATTCGATTAGGTTTCTAATTTCCTACAATATTATGTTACCTCCACGTCTGTAGGGTCCAAGCTAGTGCCCCTACAATTATTCCAGAAATTGCGCAGGCTATGTTGAGGATGACGCCTACCACTGTTCTTTTTTCTGGAGCAACGAATTCAAATACTAAAAAAGTCTCGTTAATATAATAGTGACGAGACCTACAATAAGGAGTATTTCTTCCAGGTTGAAAGGAGCGGATAACATAATTAAATTAGAAATTTAGACCAATTCTCGTAATCTTACAATGAAAACTTTCATATGGTTTAACATTATAGAAATTGCACAGACGAAGACATCGAAAATATAAAATTGGATGGACCGGGATTTTGGGAATCGTCCCGCAAACAATTAATGAGGCTGGAATGGCGTTCACGACCGAGGAAGCGAAATTCATGTTTACTAGTTTTTTGCTCGGTTTTTTGCCCCTGCAGGATAGGATTCATTCCAAACGTTTCGTGTACACTAAAAATCATAATCTCTAAAATTGATTCCAAAGGCATCTAGAATTCGTGTGCAAAGCAGCACATACTTATCACAAAGTGCACAGTTAAAACGCTTACCCTCCGGACTAGTATGCCAATTCCAGTGTAGCTAGCTACTCCATTGAAATGTTACATTTTTTGTCTCTATCAGAGAACGCAACCATATTTTTTAGATATCTATCAAGGAGGTGTATCAAATTTGGTTTCAATTGGTTCAGCCATTTAACCGGAAGTGAGGGTACAGACGGGCCGACAGACATACCGACATCATCGAAATTTTGTTTGATTCGGATTCCTGGTGCTTCAAAACGTGTATTTTCGTCAAAAAAAATGGGGGGCCATTTTTTACCTCAATGCAATACCCCCTCCCCACTTTTTTGACGGAACTACATGTTTTGAAGCACCAGGAATCCGAATCAAACGAAATCTAGATGATGTCGGTCTGTCGGCCCGTCTGCACTACCATTCTCTCATTTCCGGCTAAACGGCAGAACCGATTGGAACCAAATTTGGTACACATATTCTTAGAGATAAAAAAGCAGAATCGCGCATGCGCAGGTGGTATCTGTGCTATCTACAGCAATTTTTTTTCAAGTGTACATAAAATTCCTCTCTTTCAGTAAGATTCTACCTTTAATAAATGTAAGATCATAACTTCTTGTACGTTACCATGTCTTGCCGCAATTATGTTTAACCCCGAGAAGTGTACCTACGTTATCTGAATTTTGGTTAACTTAAGTTTTCATAGTATTTGCAGTAATAAATTCTCCCAAGGTACCTTACCTATTATATAAGCGTTAGTGAATGATCCCGCTCTTGAAACAGAATCCAGAAATGTCATTGTCATAAAAAATACATAGGAATTACTGAAAGAACGAATTAAACCAGCAAATCCAGTCGACATTAAACATATTAATAGAATAGCTTTTCTTCCAAACCTAAAATTATAATTCATATTACTGAAAAGCCGTGCCGAAAACATAATTTTGGGTAATAACATAGTTCTATGCCCACAGTACGCAGCTGTTGATATTCTGTAGTAGTAAAAGCCAATTAATGCAGCCGATAGTTTCCGCCCTTCTGCGCGAGCTTATTTTTTTGGAGTAGAAGGAATTGGTTCCTACACCTTGGCACGGATAAATGAACCTATTTGAGTCTTGCTTCACGATATTTTTGCATGGTATTGACAAAATTTCAAATTTGGTTTTTTTGGCCAAAATGTGCACCAGCTTCTGTAGTATTTCCATGTGAGGCAGCAAAGTTAAAGACACGCGATTAAAAAGAAAACAATGTTTGACCCTGTTAATACAGGCAGTCAAATCAGCATATTGAATTGGCGTCAAATTAACATCTGCACAGCTATTGAACATACCATTACTATAGTTGGGGAGCCCTAACCAACCTGTCTGATAGCACTCCAGTAATTGGCAACCCTAAGAATTGACCCACATTTGTCATCGTTCCAATCAATGTCAACTTCCAAAGACTTTCTGCGCAGTGAAGATTAAACTGTAAACAGAGTGTCGTTCAGAATCCCATTTAATTGGAGGCGAATGATATAAAGTTATCATTAACCATAATTTTCCCCACAAATTCAAAATAAATACATCTGTAGTTAATTTTTTGCATATTTAATCACATTTCGATTTTTCCCTGTCCACCTTTGTAAAGAAGCCCCATCTAAGATCGTACAAATTTTACGAGATTTTGGTTGGCGCCATTAGGATTGGAAGTTTGGGTTAGGCATTCTCAAGGCAAATCCTTTAAATTTATTACGGTAGCCGATACACACCAACTATGTGAATGAGGATGGAAGTATAAGGGTGAACAAGTCTCTAATTGCCTCAAATTTCCATCGCCATTGTCTACCTACGATAGAATAACAGTATAAATTAGGATGCCCACGCGCTGTTTATGAAAATAGCACTGTCAGAGCTTACAAAAGCACAAAACTTTCGAATAAGATATTTTCGGGAAATCTCTTGGAGGGGCTATCACAAATTATATCTTCGTACAAAGGGGTGCATAAACGAAAAATCGAAATGTAACGAAACGTTAAAAAAAAATAATCAAAGAAGAATTACCAAAATCCGTGCAGTGTAATTGAAAACTTACGTCGTGTAATTGATTGTTCAAAAGTTTTGTAAATGTATTTCTCACAGCGCTCAACAACACTCTTATCAAATACGCACTGGTTTGATAGGCTTACGTTGACGCGCTTGTATCTTTCACAAGTTGATGGTTCTCCATCCTCAGAGGGGATGGCTTCGGTCCACCATGATGGTTTATATTCGGCAGGACGCGTTTCGCATCCGACAATTTCGCATCTAAAATGGAAGCTTACGAGCAATTTGCACTCACAAAGCCTTGGAACTAGGTAGATACCTATAGTTCGGAATCTTGGTCTCAAATATCCATATCATTGCTGGCATACATATCGCCATAATTGCCACAGATATTAGAGAAACGATCTTGTATTGAAATTTTCCAAAATTTCCTACTTCTGCCATAATCGTCTCTAAACATATTTGTTCTGCTCTCATCTCTTGCAACCAATCTGTATTTGGTCATTTACTGCTCGTTACCAACAGGTACGTGCTTTCTGTTGATGTGAAACGGTTTTGAGATTACCTCCATTGTTATTTAACCAGTGAATTTAGGTTTTGTCATTATGACGTTAAACTGACATGTTTGTTTGGCAACGGTGTGATAAATTGCAGGCACCGTTGTTCAGGCATTCAGATTTCAGCAGAGGTATTTTACTACTTTTTCATTGCAAATGTGTTTATTCTCTTGTGATACATTTCTTTAATTTCTTCCGACGCGCGCACTCCTTGTACAAGACGCATTCTTGATTATTACTTGCAAGATGCTACACGCCATTGCTTAGTTGACAAGTTTGTCGACCATTTTTTTTTCCGGGTCGATCTGGGACAATTTTTTTCGGGGCTCAAAAAAAGGCAGTGTATAACCTTCCCTTTTTACGAAAAATCGACTGCACCAAAATTTCTCGGGAAAACACTTCTTCTTATTAATTAATTTTGGTGCGTAGAATCCAAAACAATTCGTACTTTTTCGATCAGACTTCTCATTCAAAAGTTATAGACTAGAGAAACCAATTTCGAAAAAAAATTCAAAGGGCTGTAACTTTTGAACTAGGAGCCCAATCTTGGAACTGTTTGAAATTATGGATTCGACAGGCCAAATTCTATAAGAAAAATTTTTTCCCCGGTCGTTCTGAGACAATTTTTTTTTCGGGCTTCAAAAGAAGGCAGTGTATAACCTTCCTTTTTTACCAAAAATCGACTGCACCAAAATTTCTCGGGTTAACACTTTTTCTTATTAATTTTGGTGCGTAGAATCCAAAACAATTCGTACTTTTTCGATCAGACTTCTCAATCAAAAGTTTATAGACTAGAAACCAATTTCGGAAAAAAATTCAAAGGGCTGTAACTTTTGAACTAGTAGCCCAATCTTGGAACTGTTTGAAATTATGGATTCTACAGGCCACATTCTATAAGAAAAATGTTTTTTCCCGGTCGATCTGAGACAATTTTTTTTCGGAGCTCAAAAAAAGGCAGTACAGTGCATAGAACGCAATTTTTCAAAAGATCGTTTTCATATAGGATCACAAAGGTCTATAATAAGCTTCCTGCAAACCTTAAGTTGCTATCGCTTAAATCATTCAAGCTTAACTTGCGCAAATTGTTGTTCGTTCATCAAATCCAAATTTAACATATCTAGTCATTTCATCGCAGTTTTATTGGAAGGTTTTAAGGAAAGTATTTTTTTTATTTTTTATTTTTTTATTTTATTTTTTATATTGTAGTTTGTGTACTTTTTTAATGTAGATAACAGTCGGAATAGTTCCAAGGTTAAGTGGAAGAACAAACGGCGGTAGTTTCCGCCGAACTGAACTTCGTCTTGTAGAAGTATATTTTATTTCTGTTTTTTTTTTGGGATAATTAAAGGCAATACTATTATTATTAATACTTTTAAGTTATTCAAATATTTGAGAACAATTTAGAAATGTTTAGGGAAAGTTTCCATTGTCACAAAATCAAATATAAAAATCCGATACATCTGAATACCGAACTCGGTAGTCTACGTAACTTAAAAACAATAGGGACCTTTCTTATATCCTTAAGACCATATGTACCAATTTTNCTGTTTATGAAAATAGCACTGTCAGAGCTTACAAAAGCACAAAACTTTCGAATAAGATATTTTCGGGAAATCTCTTGGAGGGGCTATCACAAATTATATCTTCGTACAAAGGGGTGCATAAACGAAAAATCGAAATGTAACGAAACGTTAAAAAAAAATAATCAAAGAAGAATTACCAAAATCCGTGCAGTGTAATTGAAAACTTACGTCGTGTAATTGATTGTTCAAAAGTTTTGTAAATGTATTTCTCACAGCGCTCAACAACACTCTTATCAAATACGCACTGGTTTGATAGGCTTACGTTGACGCGCTTGTATCTTTCACAAGTTGATGGTTCTCCATCCTCAGAGGGGATGGCTTCGGTCCACCATGATGGTTTATATTCGGCAGGACGCGTTTCGCATCCGACAATTTCGCATCTAAAATGGAAGCTTACGAGCAATTTGCACTCACAAAGCCTTGGAACTAGGTAGATACCTATAGTTCGGAATCTTGGTCTCAAATATCCATATCATTGCTGGCATACATATCGCCATAATTGCCACAGATATTAGAGAAACGATCTTGTATTGAAATTTTCCAAAATTTCCTACTTCTGCCATAATCGTCTCTAAACATATTTGTTCTGCTCTCATCTCTTGCAACCAATCTGTATTTGGTCATTTACTGCTCGTTACCAACAGGTACGTGCTTTCTGTTGATGTGAAACGGTTTTGAGATTACCTCCATTGTTATTTAACCAGTGAATTTAGGTTTTGTCATTATGACGTTAAACTGACATGTTTGTTTGGCAACGGTGTGATAAATTGCAGGCACCGTTGTTCAGGCATTCAGATTTCAGCAGAGGTATTTTACTACTTTTTCATTGCAAATGTGTTTATTCTCTTGTGATACATTTCTTTAATTTCTTCCGACGCGCGCACTCCTTGTACAAGACGCATTCTTGATTATTACTTGCAAGATGCTACACGCCATTGCTTAGTTGACAAGTTTGTCGACCATTTTTTTTTCCGGGTCGATCTGGGACAATTTTTTTCGGGGCTCAAAAAAAGGCAGTGTATAACCTTCCCTTTTTACGAAAAATCGACTGCACCAAAATTTCTCGGGAAACGGGAAAACACTTTTTCTTATTAATTTTGGTGCGTAGAATCCAAAACAATTCGTACTTTTTCGATCAGACTTCTCAATCAAAAGTTATAGACTATAAAACCAATTTCGAAAGAAAATTCAAAAAAAAGGGCTGTAACTTTTGATCTAGTAGCCCAATCTTGGAACTGTTTGAAATTATGGAATCTACAGGCCTTATTCTATAAGAAAATGTTTTTTTCCGGTCGATCTGAGACAATTTTTTCTTGGAGCCTCAAAAAAAGGCAGTGTATAACCTTCCTTTTTTTACCAAAAATCGACTACACCAAAATTTCTCGGGAGAACACTTTTTCTTATTAATTTTGGTGCGTAGAATCCAAAACAATTCGTACTTTTTCGATCAGACTTCTCAATCAAAAGTTATAGATTAGAAACCAATTTCGAAAGAAAATTCAAATGGCTGTAACTTTTGATCTAGCAGCCCAATCTTGGAACTGTTTGAAATTATGGATTCTACAGGCCACATTCTATAAGAAAATGTTTTTTCCCGGTCGATCTGAGACAATTTTTTCTTCGGGGCAAAAAAAGGCAGTGTTTAACCTTCTTTTTTTACCAAAAATTGACTACACCAAAATTTCTCGGGAAAACACTTTTTCTTATTAATTTTGTGGCGTAGAATCCAAAACAATTCGTACTTTTTCGATTAGACTTCTCAATCAAAAGTTATAGACTAGAAACCAATTTCGAAAGAAAATTCAAAGAGCTGTAACTTTTGAACTAGTAGCCCAATCTTGGAACTGTTTGAAATTATGGATTCTACAGGCCACATTCTATAAGAAAATTTTTTTCCGGGTCGATCTGAGACAATTTTTTTTTCGGGGCTCAAAAAAAGGCAGTGTATAACCTTCCTTTTTTACCAAAAATCGACTGCACCAAAATTTCTCGGGAAAACACTTTTTCTTATTAATTTTGGTGCGTAGAATCCAAAACAATTCGTACTTTTTCGATCAGACTTCTCAATCAAAAGTTATAGACTAGAAACCAATTTCGAAAGAAAATTCAAAGGGCTGTAACTTTTGAACTAGTAGCCCAATCTTGGAACTGTTTGAAATTATGGATTCTACAGGCCACATTCTATAAGAAAATTTTTTTTCCGGGTCGATCTGAGACAATTTTTTTTCGGGGCTCAAAAAAAGGCAGTGTATAACCTTCCTTTTTTACCAAAAATCGACTACACCAAAATTTCTCGGGAAAACACTTTTTCTTATTAATTTTGGTGCGTAGAATCCCAAACAATTCGTACTTTTTCGATCAGACTTCTCAATCAAAAGTTATAGACTAGAAACCAATTTCGAAAGAAAATTCAAAGGGCTGTAACTTTTGAACTAGTAGCCCAATCTTGGAACTGTTTGAAATTATGGATTCTACAGGCCACATTCTATAAGAAAATTTTTTTCCGGGTCGATCTGAGACAATTTTTTTTTCGGGGTTCAAAAAAAGGCAGTGTATAACCTTCCTTTTTTACCAAAAATCGACTGCACCAAAATTTCTCGGGAAAACACTTTTTCTTATTAATTTTGGTGCGTAGAATCCAAAACAATTCGTACTTTTTCGATCAGACTTCTCAATCAAAAGTTATAGACTAGAAACCAATTTCGAAAGAAAATTCAAAGGGCTGTAAATTTTGAACTAGTAGCCCAATCTTGGAACTGTTTGAAATTATGGATTCTACAGGCCACATTCTATAAGAAAAATGTTTTTCCGGGTCGATCTGAGACAATTTTTTTTTCGGGGCTCAAAAAAAGTACCACCTTTCCGGAGCCGGTAGCACGAAAACGGTTCAGTTTTTCGTAAAGATGTATATAACCAAACTTGTAGCATTTTTAATAAGCTTTCATCTAAGCTTTTTCTCTGTAACGCACCATTTTCGAGTTAAACGCGAAAAACTGAAAAATGGGTCGTTTAAAGCCCCCTCCTTCCCCTAACGGCACCGGAATTTGGAGGGACTTTAATTTTTTCTTGTTCAGGGAACCTCTCCCTGCACATTTCTGAAAAAATTGGAACTAGTAATTTTAGTTCCTCTGATTTTCCTATTTTGCCTGGACTATGTGATACATTTCCTTAATTTCTTCCGACGCGCGCACTTCTTGTACAAGACGCATTCTTGATTATTACTTGCAAGATGCTACATGCCATTGCTTAGTTGACAAGTTTGTCGACCATTTTTGGGATATACTGGCGCTGTGTTAAATTGAGTGAAGGTTCTTCTCGTTATTCTATTTACTTCCAAGCTTCGCTGACGCTATTTTCAGATTTATCTTACAAGTTTTAAGGCCGTCTTGCGATATGTAACAACAATTACGTAGGAAGAACACCGATGATTAGATTTTTAGGCGATACAGTCTTTTTGACTTTTGGACATCTTAATTCTGTATTGGATTTATTAATTTTGTTAGTTTTGTTAACACCATTTGCCAATAAATGCATATTATTATTATTATTTACTTTTACTTTGAATAATCATTTTTAGGCTTTTTTTTTCTTACTTCTTACTTTTGATTTACGATTTACTTCATTATTACCTACCGGATTGTGCTTTCGATTTCGGAGTGGATACGCTGAATTTTGGATTTTCTCGATATTGCGCAAGAAGGTCCACCGCCATTTAGAGATTAGAAAAACACGCGTAGATATTCCTACATATCGACAGAACTACCCCCCATTTTAAGTTAAACCAAACAGCTTTTACCTGGACCCAATTCTACGACGTTCTTTGACCTACTTCGAGATTGATACTTGGAGATATGCCCATTTGCTTCAAGACCTAATCGCAAGTAACTTTTACGAAACGTTTGTAGATTAATACTGTGTAAATTGCCCCTATACATCCGATTTCACTTATGCTACTTGCGTCGTTTCGTTTTGCTAGGTTAAAGTCATTCGAGTTATTGAGTCATTTTAAATATTAATTGCAGTTGTCAGTATACAATTAAGCCTCAGTGTCAGACGTTACATTGCTATACGCAATATTTTGTGCAGCGTGATCATTACCCCTCTTGTCGTTTGTTGTGTTTTTGTCTGTTTGCAGATTTGCAGTATACGCGCCCTTCTTGGGTTCAACAAGGCCATTGCGACCTGTAGTTCAAAAGGTAAATTTTGTTATTTCCGTCGATTTCCCCTACTTTAACGTTTGATTACATCTTGGTTTTCGAAATCATCGAATTGTAATTGTTACATTTGCTTGACATTCACTTAACGATTATAGCTCCGTTGTTTTTGCGGAACAATATTTGGATAAATATTTTCTCCGACTACGTTTTGACCCCTTTTTTTCTAAAATTAATTTAAATTCAAATTTTGACATAGCCGATCTTTATATTGCAGTATCTTATTTGTAATATTATTGAGATCATTGGATTAAATTACCATCGATTGTCACGTCAACTATTGGTTATGTTCTATCTCTATCAAGTGTTTTATTCCCTTTTTAACGGTCCGTAACGTGACGGAACGGAACGAACAAGTGTGTGGCAACCTTGTTTCTCCTTTTTAGCGCATTTAAAAAAAAATGCGCTATTGTGGCCTCTTCGTCCGTCCGTCCGTCCGTCCGCTCGTCTTGAGACGCTACTAGTTTTTTATCTTAAGAGCTATTGTTCTACTTTTTTCGCTATTTGGTTCGTTATGGTGTCGAGTCTTGCACCAAGGAAGGAATTTTTTCTGTACCGCTTACAAAAAAAGTTATTGTAAAAAACACAAAAAACCGTTTTTTACATGTTTCATAATTTTACACTTTTGCCGTTTATTAACGATCCTAGAGATCGTTTATAATTTTGCATTGCTGTCTGTCGTCTGCCTGTTGGTCTGTCCGTCTGTTCCTTTGTCTGTCTGTCCCTCTATCTGTCCGTGTCGCTTTTACATCTCCGTTAGTTATGAACTGAATTGCATGAAATTCAATATGGGCATAGCATTAGCCATATAATACGCAATGCCAAAAGTTGAGTCGAATCGATTCAAAATTCACAGTGCCCTTTTCGCATCTCGACCATTTATAAACCGAATTGCAAACTTTTTTAATTATAACAGTATTTAAATGAAATTTTATACATAGCCACTTGGAATAAAAGCAAATTTAACGCCAATTTCAAAATTTGGTTTTGCGCATTTATGGAGGGATTTAAATTAAATTCGATACATAGCCACTTGGAACAAAGGAAAATCTAACGCTTCCAAATTTAGGTTTGCGCATGCGCAGTTCCAACTTTCTTATTTAGAAAAGCATTGAAATGAAACTCTTCCTATAAACCACCATGTTATAAACTGAAATTGAAGTAGCACGTCAAAAATGGATTGCACATGTGCAACGCTATCTTTTATATTTGTGGCCGGATTTTTACAATTTTAACAAAAGTTGCATCTTACAAATAGGAAATGAATGCAAGTGGAAATGCGCTTTATGTAAATCGTTAACGATTACTTTTTAACTTGTTGGTAAGTATTTCCTCCTATCTCGAAAATTACTTAAGACTAAGTGGGGCCTATTCAGATTACTGTTACTATTATTTCCTTTTGCTTTATTATATTATTATTTATGGCAAACTTTTTCGTAAAATTTAACGATTGCCAAAAGTTGCAGCAGAAAGTTGTTTTTTTGGTGTATCCTTGTCATTGAAATTTACAATCACACCAAAATTTTCAATAATGTAACTGCTTGGGGTTGATCAGTGAACAGTGGGAAACATTTGTTTAAATTATTATAAATAGGAGAAAATTTCAATCCGTAAATTTCAGTGCGGAAACTAGAATGTTTCTACCACGTCGAAATAACTGAGTTTGCGTTTCTATATTAACCACTGTTAATTATTTACACAATGATCTAAAAACTGTGGAAATGGAATATACAAAATCAAAGACAAAGACGAAATGGTTAAATTTAATTAGCTAGTAGTTCGAAAAGTATTATCACAGATGTAAGTACATTATCAATTAACCGGGTAACTTGATACGTGTAAATGCTAATTACCTCATAGTCGGAAACGATAACAGTGGCAGTGTGACAATAATTAATCGTGTTTCGTTTTTAATGTTCTTCAGTACTCATTACCAAAACTGTACCAAGAGGTATATTCTTGGTGGTAAGTTTTTCTATTTCTTCCGTACACGTTTGTTCATTTTGTGATATCCGCTCACTGGTTTTTCTTCTGCCGATATTTTCCGCCTGTTCTATTGTATTAGGGAGTGTTTCGTTTAACGTCTCGGGAAATCTCAGTGTCAGAATGCTTCCCGCAAAAGCAGTTAGTGCAAAAAGTACTAATGGTAGAGGTTGCCAATACAGCTCCTGAGCACTATGTTATTGCTTTACAAAAATTCGAATTTCTTACCAACAGCGGCGTTTGGCTGGCCACCACTATACCAAATCGACCGAACATGGAGCAACTTGTTAATAGTGAGGAGCGTAAAGAAGTCGGAAATATCTCCGAAGTTAATGAGTAGATGGCAGTCATGTTTATTGCTGCAGCACATTTGCCCAAGAGGTATACGGAGAGTCTGATTACAGACAAGTCTAAAAATTAGGAGTTAATAACAACTATTACATGCAGCAAGGTTTAGTACCATGTGGAATAAAGATGAAGCTTGCACTCGATATACCGCAAATGAAGAATGCTAATGTGAAGCAGTACCTTTTACCAATTCTATTCATTAAGAAATGCGCCGCAATGTTTCCAGGTATTTCTACGAACATACACAAAATGAAATCCACGTACCCATTGTTGGACAAGGAGATAGCATTTATAGTCAGACCGTAATACGAAATCAAGCAAAACATCCAACACACACAACAGTTAACAAAACGCCTTGTAAGAATGGGAGACTGAAGTAATCTGCGCAGCGGATACGTCTCGGTGTTTTCAAGCAACGGTTCCGTATGGAAAAGCTGGTTCATGTGCTCTTTCGATAATGTGGTTCCATTGGTCTTTGCAATGGTACTTAGTATTCGCGACGCATGTTCATAGCGTTTTTTCGTCAGTAACCATCTCAGGGATTCTGGAAGGAACCAGTAGTACGATAAAATAATGAAGCAGGATCCATATAGTATTTGATCAAGCATTCTAATAAATATACGGTTAGTTATCGAGCAGCCAATTTACGCCTATTTCTACCTCCAGGTTGGAACAGCCCAGGCGACGCATCCTACAATCATTCCTCCTACTGACGTTGCTATATTTATTAAAACGCTCATGAGGACGCGTTTATCGGGACTAACGAATTCAGCACCTAAAATGACAAACTTCATTAATTTTCATATGAGCTGCAAATATTGAAGATTAAATCGAAGTTAAGATCCAGAAGGATTATTACCGCAGCAATTGTTACCACGAATTTTGAGCAGTGCAGTCCTAAACTCGGCTTAAATTTAATGGTAGAAATAGTCATCAATGAAAAACGTTAGTATTTGTTCGAGAAGACCAAAACGATCCATGGTTCGAATTTGGATTCAGTTTGGTGTATAAATGTATAATCAAAGTGTCTAAGAGCGTTTTGCGTACAACGGAAGATTCTTCAGCATTGTTGATGACCCGTGAGGACTTAAAGGCTAAAGGTTTCAAAAATCTTTAGTAAACCTCAAGAATTTAGAGCCTCCGAGAAACTGTTAATAGTCTGAAAGCCTTTAAAAGTAAAACTTTAATTTATTGGCATTTAAAAACGTATAAACACAATGAATGTTTATGTTATTGATTGTTCTTAAAGCCTCTAACAGGCATTCAAAGGATTTTGACAGCCCTTGAGAATATTTTAGAACTTTTAATAATCGTTAAGCGGATTGAATATATATTAAAGGTCTACAGGTGCAGTTTTTAAAAACCTTTAATATTCGTTTAACGGTTTGCAAAAGTCAATCAAAGTCTTCCAAAGACTTTTACTTTAAACCTTTGAATCTCGCTTTGAATACATAAAAAAAACATATCAGTCCCTAAAGGTCTCTTACAGCTTTCTACAAAATCCAAGGGTCATCTTGTACCGGCTTAATTACATTTACAAGGGCCAAACACCTCACTTGCATAAAATAAAATTGAATCTCTATAGCACTGGCGAAAATTTTTAATATAACATTTAATTTACCCATGGTTAGCTTAGTAATACAAATGTTTTTTTAACTCTTACCTTGCGGAAGTCTTATCTCCTCTGAAAATATGAAACCCAAAGTTTAATGCTCTGGTTTGATTAAACTCGAATAAATACGCATGTGAATTTAGTTGATCGCATATATTAATAAAAATGAAATAACATGATCAAATCCTTAATTTGGATTGCCTGCCGTATGCCGTTGTATACAAATGTTATGTATCGCAAAAGGCGCTGACCAGTGACGCACTTACTTATAAGTTATAACTAGCCGTTACTTTTAGCAATCCGAAAAAGAATCATTTCTGTTTATCACAATATGTTTTAATATCAGATTATTTACTCCCGGTTTAAGCAGTAGGTAGCCATAGCACTATGAAAAAAAGGTTTCCACTTTTACGCACTTTGACGTTAGAAAAACTATGAAATCATTGTTTAAACATTTTGTTCACTATCATTTTCGTGCCGTACCTCCGTCAACATTATAATCCGTTTTTAGATCGAAAAAATCGGTCGCATGAGAGAAAAGATCAACATTTTCGGAAATTGGCCGCCATCTTGAATTCTGAACTTCCTGTTCAGATTTCGAGATGCCAACATCGATATTCCTGTTCAGCGGCTCTAAATTAGTAAAAAAACGCCTATTTGGCCAAATGTTGTCTGAAATGCCCCTAGAACTTGTTAAACTGCTGTTTTTTATAAAAGTGAACCAATATAAAATATCTGCCGTGTACAATACAAATAATGCTTTTTTAATGAAGAAAATAAACCGTTACATGATATTAAAATTTTAATAACAAATAGAAGACCCGTATTTCGGATTTAAACAGAACGGAACAAAACTTTTAGGCATCCGCATTCGCTTTCCGCAATGCGTTTCTGGTTATCGCTAGATACACATTCGTTCACGTTCGCTACGAAGCGGTACATTTCCTTATATTGACCAAAATATAAATTTAAAATCAAATTTTTGAAAACAGCCAAGCGACACCCTGTTACAATATAGAGGGTTTGAGCACGTTTAACTCGATTCTATAAGAACCTTTGAGGATCCTTTAATACCTAAAAGTATTTAAGGTAAATTTCGAAGCAGATCATCAGTGATGTCACTTAATATTTACTTCAGTGTTACTCACCTATAATGAAGCAAGTGGAATATGACCCTGCTTTAGAAAAGGCATCCACAAACTCCATAACGAGAAAAAAAGTGTACGTGTTGCTGAAAGAACGTATAATGCCACATAATGCGCTTAATGCTACACTGGATATTAAAATGGTTTTTCTTCCAAATCTACAAATATAATTTTTATTTAATTCATATAATTGATACATTTCTGAAGTCATGCGTATTGCGTATTTTAAAATATTTTCAGTCACTGAATGCACTAGATCGGACCAATTAAATACCTCGATATGACAAACGCAACCAAGATATTATGATTTTCTTGCAGGATAACATTTTAATTTAAGGTATTTTGTTACTCTTTTAGTACGCATACTTACAAATATTGCAAAATATAATAATAATATATCTTTATTATTATTTTTAGTACTATGTGTGCCAGTGGCGGATCCAGAGAACCTTTTCACGAGGCGCGCATTGTTAATATAAAACTTTTAACTTCGGTAGTAAAGACGCTCCAAAAAATAACCCGCTGTACAGGTCCGTGTAAAAGTGAATTTTGATATAGTTACAGGTAAAGGTGTCTTTAACAACATACCAAAAGTACTGATAGATGAGGGCGAATCTAACGGGTGGGGTGGTGGTGTAAAGGTCACTTTTTTGAAGTATTTTTTTTGCAAATAGCTCATAAACGGTGGCCCATAGCAAAAGAATGTTGTAATGCTTAAGTCATCTACATAAAAGATCCTATAGGTACACTTTCTCGCTGGGATCAATACTTAATCTTAATGAGATATGGAGGGAAGATGATATTTTTATTTAACCTTCAGGCGGGGGCACCCTGAAGAATTGCTAGACCGGGCGCACGGCTATTGAGTTCTTTAATACTTTTGCGAAAATTATTAAAAACGTGATACCCTCGGTGATACCATATTGGAATTCTCCATAAAAAAGTGCCTGAATAATGTTTTGGTTAGAAAGTCTAGACGATTAGTTTATCATAAAAAAATTAAAAACGAAAATCAAAAATTTTCGTTTTATTGCGATATTTTCAAAACCATTAAAGATATCTTAAAGTTCTTTTCAGATTATTATACAACAAGAAAATTTTCAACTTTGCTCTTATTTAACCGACTCTCTTAAGATAAGCCAGTTCCCCATAGTGGCACTCGACAAATGATCACCCTGTATAATGCATATTTTTCCAGAAATGATCTAACTAATGATGTAGAACTGCAGGGGATAACCCAATATGAGAATTCTGAAAGCACGACGTACTTAACGCAAGTGGTAAAAATGTTATATGGAAAATAGTGAACTCGTGCAGCAAATTGCTTTTGCCAATATCTTTAATAATAAGAAAGTTATGGGGAATTAAAGAATTCGACTAAATTCGAGAAAGCAGCCAAACGATTAGAGATAGCTGAATTTTGCGTGTGCCAGTAATTTTGTCTTTAAAATTGATCTTTTGACACCTAGGTCCATTTTTAGCGCATTTTTGAAAAAAATACGCTATTATATTCGTTATTGCTGGCAGGCCGGCTGTCCGCGTGAGATCTCCACAACTACATTAGCTAGAGAATTCAAATTTTCACTAAACGCTTTCTGCTATAGTGTAGATGTGCAGCCACTAGCCTATTTTGAGTTAGATTACATGTGAGATCGATAATTGAAGAAAATAATTTCGATATGGGTTTCGGAGGTGCTATAATTTTACCGTTAGATAGCGCTACCAGTATAAAAACTTATTATTTACTTTGTGATTTGTTTTACAAAATGAAGACGTCAATTGAAATTAAATAAAATTAATTATTTAACGCAGCCAAAATTACTCGTGAGATCGATAATTTTAAACTTCGCTAATAAAATACTGACCTGCATTACCAAAAATGCGCTTTAATCATGCATATGCTGATTTACAACTTGTTTCTATTTCTTAAAGTAAAGGGCGTCTCCATAAGAAAGTGGCCAACTTGGACCACCCTGTACATACCTATCATACATACCTGTCAGATAACATTCCGGAAATAGGTAGGCCTAGTATTCCACCTATGCTATTAATTGTACCCACTAGTGTCAATTTCCATGTATTTTCATTGCAATGGAGGTTGAACTGAAATGTACCAAATATATTTGTTGACATTTTCTGTTGATGTAACACTCCAAATTAAAATCTTGAACTGTGCAATGAATGTTACTGTTACACTTTTACTAATTCTATGGTGCACCAATACTGTTAGTCCCTTACTAATTTGGGCGATTGATACCTATAATTAGGTGAAACAAAGGTTACAATTGATTACTAAAAATTTCGGTAATTTTAGGCATGCGGATCTGAGACTCGACCTCATTGGTGACCTTTTAGATACTTAAAACTAACAAAAAGTGCTAACACGTTGCTATTGGCAACATCTATCATGGGATTATTGTTAACTTCTGTGCATATTTGCACTGAAGCGATGGACTATAACCACTCCAATTATCACATAAAGGCATAAATTTCTAGACCAAGAATATTACTTACATCCTGCAAAATCGAAGTTTTATTTATTTCGTATACAAATTCATTGCAACTTTCAACTTTGGTCTTATCGAATCCAGAACATAAAGCATAATTATTGGAGGTAACATTGTGGAGACTGCATTTGTATCTTTCACAATAGGCCGGTTCGTTGTGAATAGAGGGAATTGCATCTGTCCACCAATGTGGCATGTACTCCGTCGGAGATGATTCGTAGCCAGGAATCTGGCATCTACCAACAGACTTGTGTGAATAGTTCAGAATTAAAAAGATCCACTCACCTATGTTTCATCTGTCTTGCTTCAAAAGCCCATACAATTATTGGAAAATATACCATTGCGGCAACCACGAGAATCAGAGTTACAATTTTGCTTTGATATTTTCCGAAGCTGCCAATGTCTTCCAGAACGCTGTCCAAACAGGTGTCAGCCGTCATTGTGGTTGTGAAAATTGGCGCCTTTGCAAATTGTAGGGGTGAATGTGATTAGGCACTATACGAGATGTAGCATACGGGGTCAGACTAGTAATTAACAGGAGTAATTTATCTTATCGGTAACTACGTACAGTAGAACAATTACGTTAAAAAAGTAGCGACCCTGGGTCATTTGAACATGTACAGGGCGTCCAAATTTACGATACCAGAAGTAGAGATTTCATGGCTACTTTCATTTTTGAGTTATATGTCTCATTTTGTTAGTTCTCTATATGAACATGAGAGTACCTACAACAAATCGTTATTAAATGAAATTTTTATTCACCGTTGATTCAGACAATTCACTGACGCACTCTATTAATTAACGACCAGGAGAATGTTCATTTTCGCGTTTATCGTTGATTTTTTTATGATAAATCCCTTCATTGAAGATAAGGGTAATCGCAAAATATTTTTACTAAATAAAACTGTATAATCGTAAATCATGGAAAACACCAATATCTTCTCTACTTCTCTGGTATATTTAGCGTACTGGAGCAGTATACCTACCTACAGTTTTGTTGTTATTAGATATACATATTGTTACCCACAACTAATTAGTTCCGCCTTAAGTTCTTGTGATTTTGTAATTGTTAGGGAATTAATGTTTGACAACTTGGAGAACATGCTTTATATGCAATTGTGTGACTTTATACTGATCATGTTTTTTTGATACAAATTTTTTTGTAGATAATGAATAGAACTTGAACGAGATTGATACATTATCTTAGTATTTGTACTATTAATGGAATGTTTACAAATAGCGGTCGTCAGGCTATCGTCCTCGTCTGTTTGCGATTGTGTCATGTGTGTCAATTTTGATTCTCGCAATGAAAGACAGGGATTTAGGGGGGAGAGGGGCTATGCGGACTATTAGCCCCCGGCGGTAAATTTTGAGAGGCGGTCGTCGCTCCCGTCACGTTTTAGTTCTAAATGTAGATATTTAATTTATGGGGTTCAGTTTCAGAAATAGCATTGTAATAAAACCTATAAGATCAGTGCCGGGCTCGGGCTGCCGGCGGTAGCAGGTCGCTGGGTCGCATCCAAGCATCAAGGATCAAACCGAGGTGCTCTGCCACTTTAGGAGTTTATTCAGCGGCAGAGCAAAGCGATGCAAGCTTTATAGGGGAGTTGATGGTGTTTGGTGTCCGTCTGTCCTTGAACACGATAACTGTCAAACGCTTGGACCGATTTGGTTCAAACTTTGCACCGTTGACCTAGGTATATGCCACATGTAATAAGCCTATTGAAAATGAGTCAAATCCAATGACCGTGTAGGGTCCCACCGAGGTGCAATGCCGCTCTTTTAGATACTCCTTAGGGGTTCATTTAAATTTGAGTATTGTTTTGTCTCGGCGCCAGCCGCCAGCGTGTCCGACTCTGACACGCTGTGTCGTCAATTCCGTTACGTTATTACGCGTTAGTTTCTAAACAATGAGCGAAAAAGAAGGAGATACATTTTGGAAACGACAAAACTTAGAAAAACAACAAAAATTTAATGAAGTATTACAAAAAAAAACAAGACTTAGCTTTTTTGCCTCCCTACTGGCGGCATAGTATGACTTAGCCCCCGGCGGTCCATGAACTAAATCCGGCACTGATGAAAGATGAATAAGTTTAACACGTCACACAAATACTTTTTAACCATCGTGAAGTTGGGCAGCTCAAAAATGGTTTTTAATCTTTGCTGTTTGTGGCGATTCCAAACCAGGTGTCAAATTCTTGACAGAATAGCTTCCTAACTGAAACCAAAAATTGCCAACATAAAATTGCTCCATAAATAAGAAAGTTGGATGTTGCACATGCGCAACACTATTTTTTGCGCATGCATTTTGTTAGCTTTTATTAAAAGGACCAAATTTCGTTTTAATTGTTCCATAAATAAGAAAATTGCATTTCTGCGCATGCGCAACACGATTTTTGCGCATGAATTTTGTTTGCTTTTATTAAAGGGACTTACCATAGAAATTTCGTTTAAATTGCTTCAGAAACAAGATCGTTGCGTTTTGCACATATGCAACACAATTTTTTGACTGACAATTTTTTTCTCCGTTTTTTGATAATATAACCCGGCCCAATTTTTTTGTAGGTTGTACACAGGAAAATAAGGTCTTCCAAATAATAGAATAAAAATTTTAGGTTGCTATTTGAAAAAAAAAGTTCGATGCCGTTACGGCGCTCCAAAATTTTTTTTCAAAAATCCGGCCCGTTATTTTTCTGTTCGGTATGCCTAAACATATATACAAAATTTCAACAAAATCCGTCGAGCCGTTTTCTCAGAAAATTGCCAACAAACGTACGTACGTACGTACATACGTACGTACGTACGTACGTACATACAGACGGAAAAAAATTTTATTCTTTAAAAGTTGCTTAAAATGGTCTAAAACGTCGACATTTGATGAAATTTTGAAATGTTCAAAAAACGGCTATCGCAATAGCTACCTAGCACATGCTAGGAAGCTAAAAATTACGGTTAACTTCGCCATAGCATAACAGGGATAATAATAATTCGTACAAGGACAATTCGATCTTAAAATTTTAATTCATTTTAAGTAATTAGGACTATGGTGCACTTCTATTTGGACGCGAGTTAATGGGGTGCCAATTTTTGGAGTGTGCGAAGTTTTGGCTATGTATAGATTCAAAAGGCTGCGCTTTTCGAATTACGCCCGCGCCCGCTTACTAAGAATTGATACGCGGACAACTGCTCCGCCCTGGCTCAATGGATCTTAGGTATACAGGGTGGAAATTTTATCTGGAACACATCTTCAAAACATTTTCTTTAAAGAAGTTTTTAATGGTATCCAAAATTAGAAAAAGGTTTAGGTACCAATGTAATTGTAACGGATATTACAATTACTTCCCGTTACAATTACTTTGACTGCTCTATCCTACCTCTAGTTAATCCTTATACATCTGAATTAAATTGGGAACGGTCTTGTTATGTAATTATATGTAATGTGCCCCAGCTAGCTGCCAGTCAGTAATGCTCTGCTAAACTCTTAAGGGAAAGGGGTCAAGGGATAAATAATACTTCTTTTTCACTACTAGCGTCTGATGACATGATTATTAACCTTTTTTCCACTTGTAAAGTAGCCTTTCTCGGCATTTGTTCAAAGTGGTTAATAATGTGGACATTATTAACTAGTAGTCAATAATGAGAACTGTCACGCTGTCACTTTTAGAAAACGCGACCCGAAATTTCGCTCAATAAACGTTTAGAAAAGTTCTCTAAAATGAATAATTGCCACCATCCGCCATTTCCAGAGAAATTACATACCTAAAATTATCACATTTTGACAAAATTCGAACGAAATTACTCTTTGAAAATATCTCAATGACAGAATAAAATACGGCATGTTTGACTTGTACTTCCACGTACTTGATTGACATGTTAAATTAAGAAACAAACAATTCTGTCCAACCGTTAACTCTCTTATCAATATAATATGTTAATTTAGAGGATTTCAAGTGCTAGTAGTGAAAAAATAGTATATATACCACGGTAGAGAAGTCTATTATTGCCTTCGCACCTTACACCCCTCGGCGCAAGCGCCTCGAGATGTAATCTTGGTGCTCAGGCAATAATACTGTACTTCTCTGCCTTGATATATAATGTACTATTATTAAATTATGAACCGGTTCTTATTTTCTTTAAGGTATCTCTTAGCTGCAAGAGGATACATATTATAGTAAATTAAATGGGGTTTGGAGAGAAACAATCCTGTAAAACAAATGGGTAAAGAACATTCATTGGCAAAGACACACACTTTGTATTGATAGGGAACATTCAATTCTATTTTTTTATAAATGAAACAAACTTCAGGCGCATGTTTAAATTCTACTGGCACTAGGTGTCAACCAACAGCAACTTGACAAGAATTGCAAGTAGGTAGTTAAACCGCCATTTCTAATGGCGCTTTAGGTCATATGATACGTCATTAGGAAGCTTATTTTTTCCCTTTCTTGCTATCTTAAACTTATTAGGAAATAATGGAGAAACGTGCTCATTGTGTTTTTTTTTGTTAATTTTTGACGTTCTTAGAACTATATGTGTATTGTGTATGGTAATTGTGAAATAATTTCAACTGAAAGCGTTCTGATTTGCATGTCTGCATCAGCTCAAACGATTTGTTCCATCTTTATTAGCGACCCTGTATAACGACGATATCGTAACAAATTATAACACGACGGAAAGGGGCACTATCGCAACGCCACAGAACTATGGTTCATAAATAGTTATAGATGTGTCCTGGTCACAGTTTTTTAATCCGAATAAAATTGGTCCGCCTCCCAGCTGTGCTCTGCACGAACCAGCTATAGAAACCTCGCTGAGATTGTGTCTCCGATATGGAATCAAAATTGTGTCTCAAACTGCGTTCTGCACGGACCGGCTATAGAATCCCCGTTGTGGTACGGACGAGCCCTTCTTGAGCTTGAGCAATTTTCTTCGCGACTACGTGCCCCGCTGTGCCGAAATTCAACCCCGCTCAACGACAGAAACCCGCGGGCGGCCACTGGAACTCAATCGTCCCGACTTCCGATTGCCGTTCGTGTTCCAAACTCCCCTATCAGGAAGGCGAAGACCAGCGACGGCGCATAGTGAGCTGTACCAGCTCGAAATTTAATCCCGCTCAGGTCAAATACAACCACCGCCACTCAGCAGCACATTTGGTAGAAAAGAGAAAATCGATAGTTAAATATTATAATTAGAGGATTATAACCTAAAGGAAGCGTGAGAAATGATACTGTAGCAAACTTATACAAAATAAATCATGTCGAAGAAATAGGGATCGACAAGAGCGATTTTTCTGTAAGAAAAAGACTTTCTGGATATGATAACCGAATTCGGACCATTTAATTAGTGGTAAACAGCAAGTTATACAAAACTTTGTAGAAATTCGAAAAATACCTTGCGGGTTAGTAAGGTAGGTCATGACTCATGATGTAGAGCCGGGGGGGCTTTTGCTCATTACTGAAAAGAATTGGTGCATGAAAGCAAGTATGCGAACGATAGAGGCGGTGTTGGATGTGATTCTATAATATTGCCGTTTAATGAGTAAAATTTAATTGAAACGCGCTAAACAGAAAGCAAACGATGAACGTGATATGGATTACCAACCCCAATCAGTTTTACTGAACAGTTACACGAAAGACTACGTAACGAGGGGTTTATTCCATGATTGATTTCTTAATGCGTAAACAGCCCTCAAATATGTACATTTATTCAGTCAATATTATTTGCAGTTCGAGGTATAGTAAAATAAATTTAAAATTATTTGTAATGGAGTTAATAGGTGGCACCATCATCGGCGCAAATAGCGTGCGTGTTGCATATTATTCGGTTGCCGCAGAAGCAACGTTTAGTGCGTTGCAGCATGATTCACGCTTCGGCAGCAATATGTGAAAGTGTAAAGTGACGATGTCGAAATGCTGGCTGAGGGTAATACTGCAGGGGCTTCTGCTCCTGCGGGCCCTCTTAGCCGCGGAGGACCTCACCACTCGCCATCCCGGTATGTATTTTTAATTTTTCAATTTTATTAAAATTGAAATATTGCCTCCTGTGCGCCAGATTTTTTCTCTCTCTCAAAACTATGTTCAGTGTTCTGAATGCTAGTGCCTTTCATAAAGCACAGACTGCGTTTATTTAGTTTAAGTGAAATCGATATGTTTGAATTAGCTGCTAGCAACGAACTTCTAAAGGGAAAAGTCATGTTTAACTCCACAACAGCTTTTCGAAGTAAACACTCTGCAGAAACTCTAGAATATCACTTCCTAGAGTCTCCCTGTAAGCCCACCCTTACCTAAGGATCGGGAGAGAGTTTTCTTTACCGACTGCAGTAGTGAGAAAGGACGCCTATTTCCCATTTTTCGGTACCTGTTGAAAACTTTTCTTATAAAGGGGTTTTGGATACTCTCTCGATTTAGCTAATTTATGGATACGTCATTTGACGTTGCAACTTTTGCACTGCAATCCTTACTCCAATGTAGCTAATAATGACTCTGTTGTACTCATAGATATTTTATTCATTTCCTTTGTTTCTGGTTTCTAATAATTATGGAAGTTTTCTTTGTTGTGTGTACCTATCCAACCAGTTTCTCTGTGTACACAATAAAAATACTAGGTGTAATCGATTTTGGTTAATTTCTACCTTATACGTTTTTTGATTAATGTTTGGCTTCAAACTCGGTTTAGAATAATGTACATTAAACAATTGGGCAGTTATAATTACTGTTGAAAGATTATTATGATCACGTGTACTAATTTATATTCATGTATTCCTTTCAAAATTAATTTCCCTCTGTATACAATGAAGGGGCACAACAAAAGTAGGTGCAAGCTAAATGAAATCGGGTCTGTCATTTTATTACAAACGAGCTTAATTTTGGGAAAAAACATTTCTTTCACATTTTTCATCACTTCAAAAAATTAGCTCGATGGCGGGAGAGGCAGACGCGGTGATAGGCACGATGTCTCTCGAAGCTGCAGTGGAGTCCCGGTCGGATGGCAGTGAAATCTGTGAACTAAGTGACCATCTCTAAATTCAACAAAGAAGTCAGTCATCCAAAGTAAAGTTTAATAAACGTTATCAAACAAGGAAATTAGGCTAAGTTACATTACACTAGTCATGTGCTTTGAAACAAAAGTCCGTTGTGACTTTGTCAAATTACCTGCAACTAGTCTAGAAAGTCCAGACCGAGGTCCAGACCTTGCAGGAGCTTTAGGAACTGACCCAGAAAACACACTTTACGTTTAAAAACGGTTTTAAAAGCTTTGAAAGGATAAATTCGGTATCGGTAGTATGGTATACGTTTTTGTGTAGACCGATATTAGATCTACGTTTACAATACGATTTTTACTCATATATAAACCATAGAATTCACTTTCTACGTTGATAATACGTATATAAATAACCGTTTTTCAGCATTCGTTTTATAAACGTATATAATACCACTTTAATATACGCATATATACATATAAATGGTATATCAATGGCAAATAATGAACGCATAATATTCCTACAAGAATACAGCAACATCTACCGGGAATTTATACGTTTTATATACGTAGGGTTTTAGTCTACAATAAACGCTTTTTATACGGAACTGTGTTGCTCGGGTGATTCCCTTTGAAGACGTTTTGGAGAATACTTCTTTATTAATCGGAAATTCCAAGGAGATAATTGTCTTGGACGAATATCAATAGATTGAGAGTGCCACGAGGGTCTGGCATAAGCTGCCAAATAATTAGGGCGATTAATACACTCCATTAACATACGACCAATCAGCTTTAGTGATTGTTTCAAATTCTAACCAATCAGATGATTTTTTTAGTGATTAAAAGCTAGGTAGCTTTTTATCGGCGATAAAAATGCGTGTAGGAATGCGTAAAATATACAGTGGTTGTGAAATTTACTGTATTTTATTAATCTCTCTAAAATACACTTGATCTTGGTTTTAAATCAGGATTATTTTATTTTTAATGCACTCAAATTTTGTTGCCTCCTGGAAAAAATTCTTGATCAAAAGCATAAGATAAAATCGCTCCAGCTAAAGCTGTCGCGATTTTATCATGCTTTTGGTCTCGAGTTTTTTCCGTTGCAACAAAATAGTGGATGGCTAAAGGTTGAAGCCTTCCGAGTATTGGAAAATGAATTATTTGTTTGCTTTTAAGTAAGTAGGTAATTTATGGATGGACAGTTCAAAATTCACTTCCATACAATCCTACAGACTGCGCCACTTATAGATTTGCCGAAACGATTTTCCTTTTTTAAAACGCGAAAAATAAGAGATACCGACTTTATTGCAAAAGCCTGTGCAAAAGCTACTGACAAGAATCGAATTGAACTGCTGATATTGCCTCGTTTCCTGCGGGTAAGGCGTGCTTATATGACGGTTCATGTGGGAAACGCTACTTAACTATGTAGAATTTTTTTCGACATTTAATAGTGCAAATAATAAAGCATTTTATATTTGAAAAATCAACTTTTTACGGTTTGAATAGTACTAAAATTGACTATTAGTTCTAAAACATCCTGCAGAAGACCGGTCAAAATTTAAATTATTTTCATGTCGAATCAAGTCAGTAGATATTGTATATTTTGGAAGATTTTTTGAAATTCAAGTTAACGGAGTCATAGGTACAGGGCCCAAAAGAAAAGCGGTCAAACGCAAAAATAAAAAATTTTTGATGCTGGGTATAGGGAAATGTGGTATTTGCTATACACTACACATCCGGTAAAACCGAAAGTGAAACGATTACGATAGTACTTTCTTTCGCTAAATCATGAAAAACCTGTATATAAATCAATCTTTCTGTACTTGCATATACCTACCGGTAATTTCGTTCTCTCCTTTGCCGAGTGTGTCGATCATAATCGAAAATTGTGTACCAACCTTCAGAATGTGGACACAATTTAAAACTTTATGTAGTTTAACCTCGAGTTTAACCGTTGAATGAAAAATTTTTTCATTGAACGGTTTAACTAACAGTTTCGTGAATCGTGATAGAATATTTATGTATACAGACTGCCATCGGGATTGGAAAATGTCATAGGTTTTTACATACGTTATTAGCATACACCAAGAGTTCAATTTTAAATTCCAACACGACGACAGAGCTGGGTAGAATACTTTCAAAAAAGTATTTGAATACTAACAGTAAATACTTTACACAAATCAAAGGTATTTGAATACTAAATACTTTTACGTCCAGCATAAACGAATACTAGATACATTGAAAAGTATTCAAATACTTTAAAAAATAAGCATTCAAATACTTTCAAAAGTATTCGAATACTTTCAAAGGTATTTGAATACATTCAACGCTATTCGAATACTTTCAAAAGTATTCTAATACTATCAAAGGTATTCGAATACTATAAAAAGTACTTTTCAAAGTATTCGAATACAGTAAAAAGTATTCAAATACTTGTCACTCAAATACATTAAAAATTTAAAATAGTATACTAGATAAAAGTCTTAATACTACTTAAAAAATCAAGTTATACTTTGTGTGGGGTTAGGGTTTTTATATTTCTATTGTTATATACAAATTTAAGGGGAGTAAAAGCGTACCTATTATTATTATTATTATATGATTATATAGGAGGTACCTACCAGGACCTTTCTTATACCAGTTATATCCTTAAGAATACGTGTACCAGTTTTCAAAGCGATCGTACGTCGTGCACATGACACGTACACCTTTCTGAAATCAATCCTAGCGATTTTGGAACAGATCCTTTTTTGACCATCCGTTTGTCCGTGTGCATGATACGAGTAGTTTGTTTAGAAACCTGCGATCGCTTTGAAAATTGGTACACATGGTCTTAAGGATATAAGAAAGTCCCTATCGAGTCAAAAAGTTTCACTCCGGGATCGTTCGGTATTCAGTTGTATCGGATTTTTATATTTCATTTTGTGACAATGGAAACTTTCCCTAAACATTTCTAAATTGTTCTCAAATATTTGATTAACTTAAAAGTATTACATTTTTTTGAGGCCAGAAAAAAAAATTGTCTGAGATCGACCGGGAAAAAACATTGTCTTATAGAATTTGGCCCGTAGAATCCATAATTTCAAACAGTTTGAAGATTGGGCGACTAGATCAAAAGTTACAGCCCTTTGAATTTTTTTTCGAAATTTGTTTATTGAGAGGTCTAATCGAAAAAGTACGAATTGTTTTGGATTCTACTTGAAGCAACCAAAATTAATAAGAAAAAGTGTTTTCCCGAGAAATTTTGGTGCAGTCGATTTTTGGTGAAAAATAAAGGTTATACACTGCCTTTTTTGGGGCCCGAAAAAAAAATTGTCTCAGATCGACCCGGAAAAAAAAATTTTTCTTATAGAAAGTGGCCTGTAGAATCCATAATTTCAAACAGTTCCAAGATTGAGCTACTAGTTCAAAAGTTACAGCCCTTTGAATTTTCTTTCGAAATTGGTTTCTATACTGCATTCATTATAAGAAGGTAGTAGATGGCGCTGTGTGTAAAGATAGACACACACAGGATAAATATAAAACGGCACCAAATTTGAAAAATATGAATATATATCAAAAGTTTTCACGTTTGGATCATTGAAATTGACATCTAATATCAGTTCGACAGTTTAGTTCGTGACGAAAACTACTAACATGACAAAATTGGTCACACATTTCATTTGTGGGCGTAATACAGACTCGTGGTTTAACCAATCACAGAGACGGTCAAAGCTTCCCCATGATCTCTACCGCTACCTTCTTAAAATGAATATAGTCTATAACTTTTGATTAAGAAGTCTGATCGAAAAAGTACGAATTGTTTTGGATTCTACGCACCAAAATTAATAAGAAAAAGTGTTTTCCCGAGAAATTTTGGTGCAGTCGTTTTTTGGTAAAATATGAAGGTTATACACTGCCTTTTTTTGAGGCCCTAAAAAAATTGTTTCAGATCGACCGGGAAAAAAATGTTTCATATAGAATGTGGCCTGTAGAATCCATAATTTCAAACAGTTCCAAGATTAGGCTACTAGT